TTTGCCCTGACCGTACTTTTTGTCGCGACAATCCTCGGCACGTGATGCAGCGCGCTTGTCCCTATTCGTTTGTCCCTAATCGCGACGAGAAGACGATTGTGTGTGTTTTTTTTTTTTTTTTTTTTCTTATTTTATATAGCTTCAACTTCGAGTCCGCAATTCGCGCGGCTATGTCAAAGCGGTGCACTTTCCAATTAAACTCTTGCGAGCAACAACAGTCAGTTAATTGCGAGTTCGCATTAATTGAGTCTATGTCATCTAGACACCAGTCGATTACAGTGTCCTATTAACGAATTAATAGCGTTCTTTTAATTTGTTATTATACTTGAAGCGTGTTACATAGTATCTAGCACGATAATATCCGTCTGTTAAATAAAAAATGTTATAGTTAAATTATTATTATAATAAATGCAGAAAAAAGCGCGAAAAGAGAGAAACAGATCAGACATGATCGCGAAAAGATCCTCGGATGAAGATATTTCGGGACTTGTTGTTTCGGGATACACTATCATTACGGGTGTTAAAATTACATCCTGCTAACGCGGTTAACACCACCACCGCGCGTTGATCGCGATATACAAGTTCGGCGGTGAAACGATCTTTCTTAAAGGGAGTGGCCATTCGCAATAATTTGCATACAGATTGGATCAAAGGCTCTCGGCCGTGAGATCACAATCAACCTCGTCCTCGTAATTCTGTCACCAATTATTGTTATTATTGTTATTATAACTATGTTTTCGAAAAAGCGCCCCGTCTTTCCTGTAATTTTCCAATTAACGACAAGCGTCGAGCCATCGTCGATTTTTACACGCCCGTGTAAAATGACAACCGGCAGTTTGCCGCTATTTTATCTCGCGAGACGGGGTGTAATTTATTTTTTTTAAACGAATTTCGAGCTAGTTGACTCTTTTACGACACCGCGTTGTGTACAAAAATCGTATATTATGCATGCGTGTGTCAACACACAGGATACGAAAATTTGTTTAGCTGTCCTAATCACGTGCGAACACTCATTAGATATACAAAGCGCTGTTTGTTGAACCACTCATTTAAAAGCGAGATTGCATCAACACGCACATCACTCGAGTGTGTACACGCCTTTTAATATCGTCTTACAAACATCGCTTCATTCGTGTAATGCTCCCACCCGCGGAGATGATATGCACCAGCCGCGTGTGTAACCGCGTATGTCAGAAGTCACGGGAAGATATGGAAAAGGAAGAAACAAGAAGAAGTGCCGGACACGCGAGAACTTTAATCTCTCTCGCGCCGAGCGAAACGAGAAACGCGCGAAACGAGTTATCGCGTTATTTTATCATCCCTGTGTTACATGCGCGCGCGCGCATTTTACGATGCAAAGGGCAAGGAAATGCAAATTCTATTAGCGTACAACGAGAAGAGAAATTTGAGTAATAATTTTTCATCTGAAAATTTCAAAATCGCAAAATTTCTGTGCGTTTGTGTGTTACAAATGCCGAGATTGTCGTATTTTTAGAAAGTCCGTTGCTATCGCGAAAGAAGCAGTCGTAAAAATCTACGAACTGAGAACGATAAAAAAAAAAAAAAAAAATTCACGCTCATCAGAAGTTCCCGCACTGCTCTATAAATCGTGTCAGATAACAATTCCGTTATCTGGCGTCATAAAAAATGGCGTAACGTGAGAAAGTTGGCGATATCCCGGCGTTTGCGATTGCGGGCGCCAAGAGGCCTAAGTGGCGGCGTTTACCGCAGCAGCTGACGCTAATTATGAGGCGCCAGATGTGAATGGCCGCCTTGTTTTGAGGTGGCACTCCGCTCTTTCTCTCGCTCTTCTCATTTTTTTCTTTTTTTTTTTTTACGATCTTCTCTTCTTACGCGTGCCACGATACGCGCCACGGAAACGTTGCATTTCCGTCTGCGGTCTTCTCAAGCGTGCGTGCAGAATGACTTATGACTCATTGATTCAAGTAGATCAGAGAGTTTTATGTTATTGTTCGCTCACAGAGACTCTATCCCGAGATCGTTAATACACTTAACCTTAATTGAATTAATTTACTCGTATGTTTTTTTCTCTTATTAAACTTATCACCATGTAAAATATATATCTGAGATATATGTAAATAAATTTATTAATAAAACCTTTTTAGACCGAACGTATGCAGATCGAGGTACAAAAATTATTGTTGTCCAGGATGGTCGAAGCAACCGGAAACGGGTCTTTGTCTCATACGTAAGTAACATTAACTAATATTAACACTAATAGTTTATTTTTTAAATTCTAAATATATTGTATAACACACACATACACATATAAAACGAAAAAGGAAAATATAAATTAATAACTAAATTATACTTCATCGTATCAAATGTATATCATTATAATTAAATTATTTTTATTTAATTAAACGAAGGAAAGTAAAGAAGCTTTAATATGTAAAACCTAAGAGAGCGGTGTGCTGTGGCACTATACGATAGCTGCATTACTGGTAATAATGAAGCGAGCGAGACGCGCGACCGAGAACATATAATAATCCACATCCTTACGATCTCAAAGTGATCAAACCTATTGCGGAATATATTCGTAGAATAGAAAGCGGTTATTAATATCGCGCGCGAGAGGAACCACCTATATCATTATCGGTATTGCCCTCGGATGATGATAATGATCGACGCAATTACATAACGGACATATAGGCACTTATGCGACACGAGCCTAATCGATCGTCTCGAATAAAACTGGTTTAATGACCTGTTATGCGCTTCCTGTTGATCGCATTGTCTGGCAATGCAACCGCACTTTATCTGCAATCTACGTTCCGTCACTTTTCAACCGCTTGATAACATTATTCTCATTATTAATTAACTTATTGTTAATAAATTCTACATTACAGACGTTGCTCGCGACGATGTTCTGCTTCTTTTATAATGTTTTAATTTTAATTTTCTATACTTTTATATAAATTATAAAAATATGCGGTGTTTCTAAATGTTTAAGCAATTTGTGTGAGACGATGTGGACTCCTTGGAAGATGCGTGAGGCCTAATGTTTGTTTATGCGAGGACGGCAATCACGCGACTACGTGCGGCGGCGCGCAAAGTAAAAGTAAGATATAATATTGACCGACTTTTTTTATTTACATCACTTTATAAAAATTAATAATAATTTCTAATAAGCAAATGTAAAATCTATCTATTAATCTTGGCTATCAATAGTTAGTACACACGAGCCCGGAAATGGCGCCGATGGTCGTGGCGAGACCGGTAGATGTCGAGTTCCCTGCAGAAACGGAAAGTGCGTTGACGGTCGATGTCAGTGTCGCAGCGGATATCAGGGAGAATTCTGCAATGAACGTAAGTAACGGTCGACGCTGTATGTTGGTTTTTAACATACACATCTTGTGCCAAAATTAAAATTTATTGACTAAAAAAAATTATTGATCAGCTATCTGCCGTGAGCCTTGCTTGAATCAGGGAAGATGTATCGGTCCGGATCGTTGCGCCTGCATGTACGGTTACACTGGAAGACATTGCGAGACCGATTACAGGTACAGAAAAAAAAACATCTTTGATTACATTTTTTTTTTTGTTTTGTTTTCTAGTTACTTTATTTCACGTTACGTTTCAGAACCGGACCGTGTTACACCAAAGTGAAGAACGGCCAATGTCTGGCTAGTCTTCAAGGTGTGGTTTGCACGCGACAGATGTGTTGCGCCACCGTGGGCAAGGGTTGGGGTCACCCGTGCGAACGGTGCCCGGCTAGACTCGAGTGCGAACCGGGTTATATAAAACCTAATAATCAAGGTCAATGTGTCGGTAAGTTATGAATGTCTGTTTGCAATTAATAAAACTGGCACGTCGCGCAAATTTAGTTGACGAAATCCTCTCCAAAAAGTTTTGCACAGTTGAGACGAAACAATCAGCAAAATCTTCGCGCTTTCTTCAGATATCGATGAATGCGAAGCGATACCCGGATTGTGTCAGGGTGGAAAGTGTCTGAACACTCCCGGTTCGTTCACCTGCGAATGTCCCGAGGGACAAGCGAGAGATCTCGAGACCAACGAGTGCAAAGACAAGGACGAGTGTCAGGAGGAAGGTATTTGCGCAGACGGACGGTGCATCAACACCGTAGGCGGTTATTACTGCCACTGCAATCCGGGATTCATACTGAGCCAGGATCGCAAATACTGCATCGGTGATTATATATGCGTTGTATTAGAAAAATTATTGCAATAATAATAATTTTATGTATCTGTTTGTTGATGTTATCAACATGATTAATTGTCAGATGGCAGACAAGACTTGTGTTACACAGCGGTGAATCGAAACGGGCAGTGCAAGAATCGACTATCGATGAGACTGAGCAAGAAGGATTGTTGCTGCGGCAAGAACATGGGCCGTGGATGGGGCGATGAATGCTTCATCTGTCCCAGTCCTGGCAGCAGTAAGTACTTTCAAAAGAAAAATACGTATCTAATGCAATATTTTATAGAAATATTCTTTCATTTACTTTTTTGTCACGCATTTATTGAAGAAGAGCTACATGCACGAATTCGTCTCAAATCATACACTCTTTAAGCAAACTAATTTCGTTGAATCCAAACGAATGACCGAATCCGTAACTTGTCCGAAATCGGCGAACGTTATCAAGTATATACGAAAGCGAGCTCCACAACGACTGGCAGTTCTACAGGACCCACGTTATTGCTCAATTGTAGACGATTACAACAGGCTTTGCTCGCAAGGCTTTGATCAACTGGAGTCGTTCATTGAGGTGAACGAGTGCGTGCTGCGGCCGGACATCTGTGGCCACGGCCACAAGTGCATCGACACCAAAGAGGGTTACGAGTGCGAGTGCAATCCGGGATTTACGAGAAAGCCCGGCGGTAGATGCGAGGACGTGGACGAGTGCCAATTGGGATACTGTCAGGGCGGGACCTGCCGTAACTTCCCCGGTAACTTCACCTGCGATTGTCCGCCTGGATTCGTCGTTTCCGGCGAAGGCAGATATTGCACCGGTAATCGATTTACTTCGCAAATCACTCAAACATCTCGAGAAAATAGCTCGTTGATTGTTGTGCATAATGAAAAATTATCGGACTAATGTCTGTCTAGATCACGACGAGTGCCAGGACACGGGAATGTGCACCAATGGGTATTGCATTAACATGAACGGGTCTTTCAAATGTAAATGCAACGATGGTTACACGCTATCACTGACGGGAAATACTTGCATAGGTGAGAAATGTGGATAATGATTTGCAGAATAAATATTGCAGAGATGTTTCTCTTGACTTTATCGTCCGAATTTGTTGTTCTCAGATATCAACGAGTGTTCAGAAAATCCGAGGATCTGTCTGAACGGTCGCTGTGAAAACACACCGGGATCCTATCACTGTATCTGTCAGTCAGGTTTCACTCCTTCGAGAGATAACACCTTCTGTGTGGACATGGACGAGTGTTCCACCAGCGGAATGTGCGAGAACGGCAAGTGCGTAAACATGGAGGGTTCCTTCAAATGCGTCTGCGACTCCGGCTTCAGAATCGGTCCCGATCTTAGTCACTGCATCGGTATTGATTTTACAGATTATTATTAAACAAACGATTTAGCTAATTAACCAAACTGATTAAAAAACTACAATTTTTCAACAATCGCATTAATAAAATTTTGAGTTTTCGAAATTCTGAGTGAAATAAACTATTTTATTTATAATTTTTTTTATTTTGCAAGATATCGACGAGTGTCTGAGTTCACCTTGCCAAAATGGACGTTGCATCAACTCGCCCGGCAGTTTCCGGTGCGAATGTCATCCGGGATTCAATTTAGGTCCCGACGGCAGATCCTGTCTAGGTTCGTATTAAAAATTCGAGATCTGAAATCGAATCACAATTTTCACTCAAATATACACTGAACATTTAAACTATTTAACGAAAACAATTTCTCGGATGATTTCCCACGCTGGTTAGATACGAGAAGAGATCTGTGCTATTCGCAGTACAGAGACGGCCAGTGCTCCAATCCGACGTCCACCGCGGTGACGAAGTCCAGTTGTTGCTGTTGCACGGTGATTCTGGGACAACCGATGGGCTGGGGCAGCACCTGCCAACCTTGCCCGCTACCGGGTACCACGGACTTCGAAGCCTTGTGCCCGCATGGCGCCGGAGTGACTTACAACGGCGACGGTGAGAAAAACATCTCGTTCAGACTTTGAAGTTTTTAATTTAAAAAAATTGACAAACATCGCATTCAGCGGTTTAATTGTTTCAAAAAAGAAAAGAAAATATTTTTGTCAAACATTAAGATCTCAAATTTTAGAGTTCACTGACCGTTTCGTGAATAAATAATTTAACGCGGAATACGGCTATTACGTACTATAGATATCAACGAATGCGCCCAGAATCCTAACATCTGCGTGAACGGAGGATGCGAGAATCTTGTGGGAACGTATCGTTGCATATGCGACAGCGGATACGAGGTGGACGCGACGGGGAAGATTTGCACCGATATCAACGAGTGCGAGCTGGAGGATTCTCTGTGCAGCGGCGGCCAGTGTCGCAACACACCCGGTAGTTTCCAGGCAAGTTTTTCAACGATTCGTTGCTTCGCTCTTCAAAAAAGGAAGTACGCGTAATTAAGAGTATCACAATCGCGTCAACATCATTATACTTTGCTCGCAGTGCATTTGTCCGACGGGCATGAGATACAACACGCAAAACCAAATGTGCGAGGACATAGACGAGTGCGACGAGCTGGGTCCGGACGTGTGCTTCAACGGCGTTTGCATTAACGTTCCAGGAGCTTACGAGTGCGAATGTTCGCCGGGTTACGTTCTCGACAACACGGGCCACATTTGCATAGGTACCGATCGACATTCGTTTTTCCTTTTCGATAAACGGCGAAACAATCGCGAAAGAGATTAAGTACGACAAACGTGATGAGAAACAGGATTCTGACTTTTCAGACAATCGTCGGGGTTCCTGCTGGACCAAGATGGTGGACGGTCGCTGCGAGAACAACTTGCCGAGAGTGGCGTTACGCTCGGAATGCTGTTGCTCGGTCGGAGTGGCTTGGGGCAGTCCGTGCGAAATCTGCGATCACACTTTTTGCGAATGTTCGAAGGGCTACGCGAAGGTGGACGGCAAGGGTTGCGAGGACATCAACGAATGCGAGCTCAACAGCGGAATCTGCAAGGGTGGCGGCACTTGCGTCAACACAGACGGCTCGTATCGCTGCGAATGTCCACCCGGTCTCACCTTGGACACGACGCGTAAGCCGATAATAATAGAATCGTTTTCAGAAAAACACATTGCTTTTTATATTTTGCCACGAAGAAAATTATCGCAACTTGTAAAATCTTATCTTTAACTTTTGTAAATAATTGTTTACAGAACATGATGTAAACTTATTTTATAGGATACAGATTGTATGTTTTTTTTTTAACTTTTTCATCACAGACACCACGTGCACGGACACCAGGCAAGAAACGTGCTTCCTGGATTATCGCCACGGTCAGTGCGTCAGTCCGATCGAGGGCCATTTCTCCAAGAGTATCTGCTGTTGTTCCGTGGGTCGCGCCTGGGGTAACGGCAGATGCGAACTGTGTCCGAAAACGGGAACGCAGGCTCACACGGAGTTGTGCCCGCGCGGAAACGGATTCACCGAGCGTCAGGACATCAACGAGTGCGTCGAATTTCCGGGAATGTGTCAGAACGGCAGATGCAAGAACACAATTGGCAGCTATAGTTGCAGATGCAATCAGGGTTACGCGCCCGACGAGCACGGCATTAGGTGCATCGGTGAGTGGCTTCGAAGAAACTTTTCGCAGCTCTCGAGGATTCGAGCGCTTTTTATTGAGTAAAAAAAAAAATTTATTTCAATTTGATTAACTTGAACGCGTTTAGATATCGACGAATGCGAGATCACGCACGGAGTGTGCGGAAACGGCACATGCAGAAACACTCCTGGGAATTTTCAGTGCGACTGCAGTCCCGGTTATCGCAGCAATGACATCATGAAGATTTGCATGGGTATGACTTGAAAGAAATTTTAATTTCAAACGTTTTAAAAAATTTAAAAAATTATTTTGAGATAATTTATTTCAGACATAAACGAGTGCGAGGAGACGCCAGGGTTGTGTCGTGGCGGCATCTGCGTCAACACCGAGGGCAGTTTTAACTGTCAATGCCCGCCAGGGCACGAATTAGGTCCCGACAAACAGTCCTGCAAGGACATAGACGAGTGTTCGAGAACAAGCGGTATCTGCTCGAACGGCGTCTGCGAGAACATGATGGGCACTTATCAGTGCATATGCGACGATGGTTATCAGCAAACGGGGCTCAGGTCTCACTGCGAAGACATCAACGAATGCGCAGTCGCCAATGGCGGCTGCGAGGACATTTGTATAAATACACCGGGCAGCTTCTCCTGCACGTGCCGGTGAAGAATTCTAATCTTTTTCTAATTCTATCCGCAATTAATTACATTAACTAAGAGATTTGTTATTTTTCTAATTTTTATACAATTGAAATATTATTTTTTATAACAGTACTGGCTACGCTTTAAACCTGGATGGTCGAACTTGCGCGGACGTGGACGAGTGCAAGGAGAATCCTCGGATCTGCAACGGAGGGAAGTGCAAAAATACACTCGGTGGTTACGTATGCAATTGCACGAATGGTTTATTGCCCGGGAGAGATGGCGTATCTTGTATAGGTAAGTGCTTTGTTTTATTTCTGCTTCGTAAATCAAAATTACACGCGTCGTATATCTTCGAAAACACGTTGCTTTTATCAGATATTGACGAGTGCGCGACGCAACCCCAAATATGCGGGTACGGCGAGTGCTCCAACACGATCGGCTCCTTCAACTGTCGCTGCGAGGAAGGATACTCGGTGAAGCCGGCGGAGGGACCGGCGTGCACCGACGACGACGAGTGCCGATTGAATGCTTACTCCTGCAGCGAGTTCGCCGAGTGTCAGAACACTCAGGGTTCGTACATTTGCACCTGTCACGACGGTTTCACCGGGAACGGTATCGAGTGCTGGGACATCAACGAGTGTTCTACGAACAACGGCGGCTGCGACTCGAACGCGCATTGCATCAACACGGAGGGTTCCTTCAAGGTATACTTCAAAGAGCGGTGTCTTTGATCGCACTGAAGAATTCGAGTGGATTTTGTTCAAAACTGATGCTGTGATTTTTGTAGTGCGTGTGCGACGCTGGTTTTCGAGGCGACGGCTACAGCTGCAAGGACATCGACGAGTGCGCGGAGGACGATACGCTCTGCGAGAACGGCCACTGTCTGAATTATCCGGGCGCTTACCGTTGCGAATGCGAGATGGGATTTATGCATCCGGACGAGCACAACGAGCAAGCGTGCGTGGACATCAACGAGTGCGAGATGTTCAGTAATTTGTGCGTGTTCGGTCGATGCGAGAACATCTTCGGCATGTTTCGCTGCGAGTGCAACGAGGGTTACAAGCTGGACGGCTCCGGCGGCAACTGCACCGACGTGAACGAATGCGAGAGCCCGCAGTCCTGCCAGTACGGCACGTGCATCAATACGCAGGGCAAATATATCTGCCGGTGTCCGCCGCATTACGAACTGGTGGAAGCCGGAAATGCCTGCGTCGGTAGGTACACCTGCGTCGAGATTTCGAGTGTCGCGCGTATTTGGGTTCCTATAATTTCTGTCCGTTTATCTCACGCAGATAGACGTGAATCTTTGTGCTTCACGGGTTACGAGCACGGCACGGGAAGACCGCAGTGTATCTTCGAGGTGTCGTCGTCGGTGACGAAGGCGACCTGTTGCTGCAGCATCGGCACTGCCTGGGGCAATCGTTGCGAGGAGTGTCCCCAGCCCGGCACGAAGGAATACGAGCAATTGTGTCCGAGCGGACCGGGATACAGACCGAATCGGGTAACCGTCATTCTGGAGGACATCAACGAGTGCGAGGAGCACGAGAACATTTGTCAGAATGGACATTGTACCAATACTTTCGGTAGTTTTATGTGCTCCTGTAACGAAGGCTTCGTCTTGGACGATTCCAAGACCAATTGCATCGGTAATGGGAATATATACGAAATATATTTTATTTGCTCGGTGCAGCGGAATGTTGTTAACTGTACAAAAATTTATTGCAGATATAAATGAATGCGCGTTGCATCCGCAAATATGCGGCGTCGGATATTGCATCAACGATCAAGGGAAATATCATTGCGAATGTCCCGAAGGATACATGGCAATGCCCGGAGGAAGTTAGTGCAATTTATGATATAAATATATATACGTCTATTTAATTATAATAATTTTAAAATAAAACTTAAATTTTTTAATCATAAAATGCAACGAATATATGTATTCTTAGAGGAGTGTGTCGATATGAGAAAGGAATACTGTTACCTCACCTACGATGCCGGCCAGTGTCTGAATCCCATGGTGCAGCCGCAGACGAAAATGCTGTGCTGTTGTTCTATGGGCGCTGCATGGGGCAATCTCTGCGAGAAATGTCCTAACGAAAGAACTCGTGAGTGTATAAACAGTTCGAAACTTGTCGCAACGCGAATGTAACACAAACTATCTTTGGCTCGACTTCGCAGGTGAGCATGAAATTCTGTGCGGATTGGTGCCGGGTCAAATCATGAACCCGATGACGAATCACACCGAGGAAATCGACGAGTGCTCCCTGATGCCGACAATGTGCACTCACGGTAGATGCATGAACACTCCCGGCAGTTTCGAGTGCCAGTGCGATCGCGGTTACGTTTACGATCAGGATTCACATCAGTGTATCGACGAAAACGAGTGCCTTCAGGTGCGATTTTCGATATTTCAGTAAAATAAAAAAAATATATGTAATAAATAATTTTTATATAATCACAAAACATTTTAATTTCTACGATGTGACATGATTAATTTTGTGGGACTTAGATACCGAATCCCTGCAGTGGAAATGCGCAGTGCATCAATCAGCAAGGCTACTTCGAATGCGTGTGTCCTGTCGGCTACAAACTCGGTCCCAGTCAACGCGACTGCATCGACATCGACGAATGCTACGAAAGACCGGGTATCTGCAACAATGGAGCTTGCAGCAATTTGCAAGGTAGCTTTCAATGCGTTTGCTACACCGGCTTTTCGTTGACTCGCGACCGGGACAATTGCGTCGACATCGACGAATGCCAACGCAATCCAAACATATGCAACAACGGCACCTGCGTCAACACTTTGGGCTCCTACAAGTGTCAGTGTTATCAGGGATTTAAACTCAGTCCGAATAACGATTGCGCTGGTAAGTTGCTGTCAAAATATTTTTGATTTTTTACTTTACAACAAACATGGATTTCCAATTTTTAAAAAATTTATTTCAGATATCAACGAATGTCGAATAATGCCATTTTTGTGTCGCAACGGCCGATGTCGAAACACGATCGGCGGTTTCGTTTGCGAGTGTGCGGATGGTTATGTGTTGGCGCAAGACGGTCAACATTGTCGCGACATCGACGAATGTCATGAAGTATATTTTCTTAATATTTTGATATATTTGAAACATTTAATTTCTAAAACTAACTTACTTGAAAAATATCGAATCTTTTCAGATACCGGGTTTATGTCCATCTCCTGGAAAGTGTCAGAATCTCATGGGATCTTACATATGTAGCTGCCCGCCGGGATACGAACTGGATCATACCAGAAAAAAATGCGTGGGTCCGTTTAATCTTTCATTAAATCGTTGATTACGCGTTTGTCAAATTGCAACTTTTCTAAATACGATTTACATTTTAATTATTCCTAGACGTGGACGAATGCGTCGAAACGGCAGATATTTGCGAGAACGGTCGGTGCATCAACACGGAGGGTGCTGTAATCTGCGAGTGCCCCGTCGGATATGAATTAAGCGATAAACCGAACTCGATGAAGTGCATCGACGTGAGAGAAGAGCAATGCTACGACAATTACAGACGAGGCCAGTGCACCTTCCCGCGGAAAGGCGGCATGACCAAGAAACACTGTTGCTGCACGATGGGCAAAGCTTGGGGCCGATATTGCGAACAATGTCCGCCGGAAAATAGCGGTAGAGATTATTTTTCCAGCAACTTAAAATTTTTTTAAAAAACCAACTTTGTAACCGGAAAACCGATAATCTTTCGTCGCATCTTTTATTTATTTTTTATATTTACTGCAAAAAGTTAATACGTCTATTTAATTCTTTATTACAAATTTATACGCAGAGGAATTCAAGAGGTTGTGTCCGGAAGGATCGGGGCGGGACGACACAGGAATCGATTTGAACGAGTGCCTGTTCATGCCGGACGCTTGTGCCGGTGGCGAATGCATCAACACGGACGGCTCGTTCCGATGCGAGTGTCCGACGGGATACGTGTTGGATGAGACCGGGCGAAGGTGCGTGGACAACAACGAGTGCCTGAGCGTGCAGAACATCTGCGGTAATGGCACATGTCGCAACATCGACGGCGGTTTCGAGTGTTCGTGCAGCGACGGTTTTGCGCCAGGCGCCAATCAGGTCTGCGAGGACGTGAACGAGTGCCTGGAAATGGGCAATCAGTGCGCCTTCAGATGCCACAACGCGCCGGGATCCTTCCGTTGCATCTGTCCGTACGGATACACTCTGGCACTCGACGGACGCCATTGCGTAGGTAATTGAAAACAAATTCTCGAAACAACGTTAATTCCCACGTAAGACACGTGAAAAATCGTGTCAATTGAATTTTGTTTTGACACACAAATTTTTGTTCGCAGATGTTGACGAATGCGCCACGCCGGCGAACGATTGCAGATTCCAATGCAAGAATTTAATCGGCACTTTTATGTGCATCTGTCCTCCCGGATACCAGAAAATAGGAACGGCCGACGAGTGCAAGGATATCAACGAATGCGCCATCAACTCCGGTCTTTGTCAACACGGCCGTTGCGTGAATCTGGAGGGAAGCTACCAGTGTTTCTGCTACGACGGCTTCGAGCAAAGCTCGGACGGAAAATCGTGCATAGGTAGGAAATAAAATAAAAGATAATAAATTTCAGAATATATAAACAAATTAATTAAAAAATTTTATAAAACAAAAAAATTGACGAATAAAAACGTAAAAGACGTAAAAATGTGGACATTGCAAGAATGAAATATTTTTTTATATGATTAGATCGAAGAGTCGGTTATTGTTTCTTGCAAACGATCGGCGGCAGATGCACCGCCAGAACCTCGGAATTGCGTACGGTCACGAAGATGGACTGTTGTTGCACCATGGGAGCAGCGTGGGGACCGCACTGCGAGATTTGCCCGTCCAGAGACTCGGACAATTATAACGAACTTTGTTTGGACAAAGGGTTCTCTCTAGACGGACAAGGTAAACTGATTATAATATAAAGATCTCGCTGTTTGCAACGTATACGTAAAAATTTTTTTTTTTCCAGATATTGACGAGTGCAAGACTATACCCGATCTTTGCAGAAACGGTCTGTGCATCAACACTCTCGGTTCTTACAGATGCATATGCAACAAGGGCTACAAAGCCGACAAGTCTGGCACTCAGTGTATCGGTGAGTTTTCTTTCAACTTTGCAAAAATAATAAATGTTTGTAAGATCACGTGTAAATACAACGAATCGAAATCGCAGACATTAACGAGTGCGAATTGACGCCAAAACCGTGCAAGTACACCTGCCAGAACACCGAAGGCAGTTTCATCTGTTCGTGTCCGTCTGGTTTCATTCTGAATCCGGACGGCGTTAGCTGCAGGGATCTGGACGAATGCGCGACTGGGAATCACTTGTGCCAGCAGAATTGCATAAACACTCCGGGAAGTTACACCTGCGGCTGTCAGGAAGGTTACATCCAGCAAGGAGACGCGTGCCACGGTATCTACATCTTCTTTTTCTTTTTTTTTTATTATAAAATTATAATCACAGTTTTTATTTAATTATTCGTCTTTGTATAATTTTATTTTTACTACTTGTGTTCGTTAAATATATGATTTTCCTTCCGAAGATATAAACGAATGCGAGCAATCGAATATTTGCCCGAAACCCGGAAAGTGTATCAACACTCTCGGTAGTTTCCAATGCATTTGTCCGAGAGGTTTCAAACTGGATCATTCCGGACGATTTTGCACCGATCACAATGAGTGCGCTGACGATGTCACTTGCGAGCACGGTTGTCAGGTACGCGCGTCACTCGTCATTATCACTTTTCGCACGTAAAAAGATTAATCACAATTCGCAAAAAAACCGTTACTCAGTTTTTAAGTTCTGGTTTCTAGAACTTCATGGGTAGTTATCGCTGCGGATGTCCGGAAGGTTTCGTTCAGCATCTCTACTACAATCAGTGCGTAGACGAGAACGAATGCAATTCATCGCCATGCGGCGACACCACTTGCATCAATATGATCGGCAGTTACAAGTGCGGTTGCCCGGACGGTTATCAGTTCGATAACAATCTGGCGATTTGTGTACAAGTACGTGATTTAACAACATTTTGTCGCAATATTTTGTGCACAATAATTTACTTAATTTTTATTTTGCTTCGTTTTTATCTTGCTCTTGTGCAGGTGAGCGCCGGATGCGTTGGCAGTCCTTGCGCCTTCGGATGCATTACAAACGGAGCAAGTGGATTTCTCTGCAGCTGTCCCACCGGTTATCAGCGAATAGGACAAGTGTGTTTTTTTTTTTCAAATTGCGTATTCGTCTTTATAAAAATTAACGATGTGCATTTGAGAAACAAACTGATATTTTGTTGTAAATATTTAAGAAGATTAAAAAATTTGCTTGTTGTTTCGTATTACAGGGCCATTGTTTGTCCACCATTACTCCTTTATCTCAAGGACGTTACGACGAAGATATCAGCAATGTGCCGACTTTCCAAATCAATCCCGATCCTTATCACATACCACCGGCCGACGATAAGACGATCTCAACGGAGGGATGCTTCTCGTGCAAAGTTTGTATATTTTGTTTAGCTTTTATTTTAGTTAAAGACTATAGAATAATACACAATCTTTCGTATTAGATAAATGGAAAAGGGCGGCACAGAAGAGGCGCTAGAAATAGGACGGTAGACGAAGAAACGAAGACGAGGAAAAACGAGATAAAGAAACAACGTCGAATTGGTAAGCAAAAGAGGCACCATCACGGAATGGCACACGTGCTTAAAATCAATTTGCGTCAAACGAGGCACCGCACGCGAATCATCAAGCTGCAGTCCGCCATCAAGGTAATTATATCGTTTATAATTTTAATTGGATTTTACTGTATACGTAACAAAAGTCTTTGATTATCGAGTACTACGTAACAGTTCAGCTTGGGTTTATAATAATTTTCAATTAACACTGAGCAATTATATTCTCTTGACAAAGGGCGAAGATATGAATTACACTATCGCGCGTGGCAACGACGGCAATCACTTCGAAATCGTCAGGCAACGTGGCATCTCCGCTTTACACTTCCGCCATCGGCTGAAGAATCCTGGAGAATTTTACATAGTGATCCACGGTCGTCCAGCAGAAGCAAAGACTTTAAGAACGGAATGGGAAAAACCTCTAACATTTACAGTTCATCTTATAGTCACGAAATAAGTCGCGAGGAAAGAAATTAATTTAAATCGCGCGAGAGAAGACACCATACCTAACACAGTGTGTTACGCTTTTTCTTAGTCAATTTCGAGCTACATGGCAAAGTATTAAAAGTATCGCAAATGCCAGCGTTTTATGTATAAGAAAGGATATGGGGAGAGCAATTGAGAGAGAAAATATCCTTGCGCAAGTAGGAATCTTTAAAGTATATATAGAACAAAGATTAAGATAAATGATCGTTAAGTGCCTTGATATTTTTGTGTTCATTGCGCACAAACTGCATTATTTAACTGCCGGATAATAAAAATATATATTTTACAAGCAACGACGATTTTTTTACGATATGTCATGTGACGATATTTGTGACACTTGTGACACTGCCAATTATGCCTATCGAGAAGAGTTACAATATCTATTTACTAATAATAATTCTCCATGTATTCAAAAGGGTTCTCTTCGAACTCACTGCCTACACTTACATTACGTAAATACAATTATTAAAAGTAATGCGCTAGAAATGTACAAAACATTAGATTACAATAGCTTATAAGCAAAGAGAACACGCATATATACAAAACGTAACTTTATATATTTATGAATTTTATGTACAAAATTAGTATATTTTGTGCTTAAACTTTACACAAAGAGACTTTTTTTATATACAATTTTATATATATATATATATATATATATATATCATCGCTTGATTATAAATTATACAACAGTTTGTGCCTACGTTATTAAGAATTTTAATTTTTATGTATGATAATAATACTAGAACACACATGCCACAGGACTGGTAGATATAATAAACATCTGAATAGAAACTTCTCTCAGTCGTTTGAAAGCGTACCGAACTTGTAGGTCATGTCGTGGACATAAATCTTTCCCGGATACAGCATGCAAGATGCAAAATGTTTCACGTTGATAAGATTAGGATGATTCTGCGGCGATAAAGCAAATCCACCGTGACGACGATAAGGGATATTTCCTTTTCCACGAATTTTTACGTCAGTTTTTCTTTTCATCTATTCGAAATATAATAGTTTCAATTGGTTTTTAACAAAAGATTAGAACTCTTTTAATTTTGTTTTCCAAAATGTTATATTAGAACCAAGTTCAACAAAGAATTGAGAAATTAATGAATATTTGTTAGTTATTGAAATACTCAGTACACGGATTGACGGTAAGAAGTTATTTAGTTTTTAGGTTTAATTTTTTTGAAATTTTAAGCTACGATGCTTATTAGTTTCAAACACTGATTTAAGTTCACACTCACCAATTCTAAAGACTCAACTCGTGCGTTTTCGCAATCTCCCCGTCTGTGATCCTTTAAATCGGAAAAATAAACGCGTTCGGAATCCGGTAACTCATTGCCCGTATAAACGTGCAACACGGGGTGATTTGAATACACTTCCAAAAATCGTCCGGAAGTAGGATGCACAATTCTTTTTATACATTTTAATAAAAATCAAGCAACAAAGCATTGTATTATACAATGCGCTTTTACAAATATTATAGAAGTTATTACATTAGTTAAATTTAGAGAATCGATTTCTCATTATCAAAAACAATTATAGATTTAAAAGACTCGGGAAAGTTATAAGTATATATGATTACCTTGCGTGGAAACGGTAAGTCCAGCAACTCGGACTATTGACACACAGACTGTGATTGTAACCTCCGCCTGGTATATCGTACAACCGACGTCGATTCAACTGTGCGGGTAAGCGCAGCTCTAGTGATGTACCATCGACAGGAGATATGGTGCCGGTCGGTAAGTTTTTTGCATCTATAAGGAGCCAACTGTTGGCATTCACCGTGAGCACGTGTTTCTCTAGTTCCTTAGAACCCGCACTCTACGTTCGAATAATAAGTCAAACTTTAGAGTGCAAGTTTTTTAAAATTACAAATTGAATAATATCAGTAGTAAAAAAGTTCTCTTTTTAATTATATTTATAATTATATGTATATTTTTTATTTTTTATTTTATTGTTCTTGAGCTAAATATTGTTCTCAATAAAAAAAAAAAAATTCACTTCAAATCTTACGTGTCCGGCGAGATTAAACAAACAGTAATTGGTGACATTGGCGGGGGTGAATTTTGTGCTGGTGGCGCGGACATTAATGTGAAGTTGATTATCATCCGTCCACGTGTATTTAACTTGGGTCAACATGTCACCGGGATAACCCTCGCTGTTATCTCGACTCAGATGCGACATCACCTCGTCGGAAAATACAACAATAAACAAACAAAGGTTTTAACACATTTTTGGCTAATTTTAGGAAATAAGTTTACATCCTACCACTTGATTGTTCACTATTTGCGACTGCCAATTGACATTGTCGAACGTTCTCCCGTTATACCCCTTTCCGATCTCATCATTGATCGACGAAAGATGCGTTGCATCATGGAATTTCAAATTAGCAGAAATGGGATTAGCAACACGGCCGATGATGCTTCCCATATATCTGTTCTTCAAATACCCTGATGTAATATATATTGACAACAATAATAAAAATTACTTAAGACACAAGTATTAACGATTTAAACAATTTGATCAACAACGTCATTGATTTTACCGTTCATGTCATCGAATCCTAGGACGACATCGGCCAGTTTACCTTCTCGATTGGGAATCCTGATCGATTGAATACTAGCGCCCCAGGATATCAGACGAACAGTTGCGTTGTTTTTATTCATCAGAGTGTACCTGTTCGCGTCAAACAATGTATTTATATAAGAAGTTAATCAGTTAATAACTTAATTATTAAATAACTGAAATTATTCTTTTTTGATATCTTTTAGCTTGATTGTTATATTTTATATTATGCTTTTTATGCTAAAACCATAGCAAAAACAATCTATTGTTCCCTATACACAGTTATCGTTTTTTTTAAATCTTTCCTGAATTTTTAATTAAAAAAATAATAAATTCGAGCAAACGCTTTCCTATTTTTCTAGGTAACCTTGTAATAATTTTTTACTACCTTCTAATAATTTCGTACGGTTTCTTCAACGCGGCACTGTATGGTCTTGGTACACGTCCAAAGCCATCTTCTTCGATCAAAGTGGTTTCGAAAGACATGATTTAGAAATACAGGAAAATAAAAAAATTATAAATTTGTAATAAAAACTATAATTGTATAAATATTACGTGAAAATTTGAAAAATTGTTTCAAAAGAAACGTTTAACCTCATTTATAATGATTTATTAGCTGAAGTTAGCGATGCACGCAATAGCTGCGTTTATGAAAATGACGAATCTTCTGGTATTCAAGTAATAATTTATAAATCAGATTGGACAGGTCTAAAAATATCATTAGAGTCGCTTAAAAGTTTTTATCACATATATCATAAAAAATATATTTCTTTCTCAATCTCTAATTTGACATATTGTGAAGAGGACGTCTATGATTTTACAATTGACGAATCCTTCCGCCTGCATTCTCATCTTCATACAGGAGGTGTCGTCGGGGGTGTCGCTAAAAATCGCGAATCGCGATGGTGCGATTCGATTATCCCGAGGGATATACGGCGCCTTTTATCGTCCCGGTGCACGTCGATCGGGAGTCTCTCCCCGCTTCCACCGCGCGCTTTAGAAACAGTCGATAGAAATAATTACATTAATGGCGTCGCCGACAAGAGAGAGAGAGCAGCGCCGACAACCCCCGGGCACTGTCGCCACCCTCTCTCGTTCTCCGACGCTCGCGCTCTCGTGTGTCGGAAGGCATCTCAAATGGGAGCGGAGAGCAGGCACCTCTCTCTCGGCGAGAAGCGTAACGCTCTTCTTCCACCCCCGCTATATCGCTGCGAGTTATATACAGAATGGCGCGCTCGCACCATCTCGCGCGGCGCAGCGCGCGGTGCGACGCGAGCCCGCGCGCGCTTTCTTCGTCACAATAGCGTAATGCCATTCTCGACGCGGTAACGCGACAATGGCGCCGCATCCCGCCGCTGGAAAGTAATTATCTTAATGTTCTGACGAGCCGGTGAGCGCGCGCGCGCGCGAGCGCGAACGGAATAGAGACACTCACTGGGAAACGACGACAACTCGTCGAGGGTTGGCAGATCTCGGGGGCGGATTCGTCTTGCGACAACCCCGTTCTTATCTCCGTTAACACTGAGCGGCGGAACGCGATCGATGTGTGAAAACCGTGAATCCTGATGACTTGCTCGTTGGCATATATATTGCGCCAAAGTGACACGTTTAGTTATTGTTGAATTAAAATGGGAGCACAATGCGAAACGCGTCAAGTTGTAACAAAAAAGTTTGATGTCTCGCAAAAGTTCATTTGTTCTTTTTACCGGGGCACAATAATTTAATATATTAAAAATATTTAATATATTAAAACTAATAAATTTTCTATTTTAAAATATTACTTGAAAAAAAAAAAAAAATGCACATCTCGTGTTTTTATCGATATACGAAGAATGCGATGTCGGAACACACATGCGTAAACATTGTAAAGGGTAAGTTCACGCTTGGCGCACTTCGCAATCCCTACCGATCGATTACATGGAAAATCATGCAGAATCCGAAGGTCTCGACAGAAGAGGAATCCATAATTCCATTGGTGCGCCTGCAAGCGAGTGATCCTTTGTCCCAAGTCCTAGATGGTGGAAGGAGGGTTACGGAGATCTCAACGCGGAAAGAGAGAAAACGCACGTTTTACCATGACCACGCAAGGCTCGTATTAACCCTCTTCCCAACACCCGCGTCGCGTTGCTTGCCCTTCTCTTTCCCATCTCAATTAGTCATTACGTCTAACGGCATAGCGATGCCCTTCTCGAACCTCCCTCCCACGTCCGCGCCTGGGTTTCCACATTAATTGCGTCTCGGCGACGCGTTCGCACTTTCCCTCCACCCCTTTACTCCCATGCCACTTATATAGGGTGTTTTCAAAAGGATTAGTGTCGACGCCACGAGCCGCATAATTCGACTAGGCCCTATTTTCTTCTTGGAGAGAGAAATCAGATCAGCAACTAATCTCTGTTCCTCTCGACTCAACGCGTAAATTGGAACCTTTCTTAAGATCATTAGAGTGATTATTTATATATTTACATATTGTTTTCCATCTGTATTTATATATTTATATATTTTATTTAAACAGAGTCATTGATTTTTGCTAAATGCGACATAATGACAAATGCGAAAAATTCGTTTTTGTTTCGGTTAAAACTTGCGCTTCTGAAAGAAAAGAAAGCATCTAATTACCAAGTCACAAAGATAGTTTTCGGAAATATGAGGTATTGTATCCCATTTCGAAACCGCACTTTTTAAAAGTTTTTATCAGTTTCATGTAACGTTTCTCCTTCACGGAATAAACACCCCGTAGATCGTGCACGTGTGCCTACACATGCGACAGATTTCAGCGCGAGTCGCATGAACGGGCTCTAGGGTTGCACTTAGTAGTCGACTCTTTCCGCCCGCCCTCCCATCCCTTCGTGACTGATCCCTCTACCGTTGCTGGATACAACTCACCTACCTACGAAAACCGGGGAGGCAGTCGCTAATTACGCAACGCGTTCGAGCGTGTTCTTCGGAGTGGCAACGTGGCACCGCGATGGGTCCGGATTTCTCTCCACCCCCTTTCCCCTTTCCCGCCTTGTTATGCTTCTGTGATCTCGCACGGAATCTCTTGAACCCGATGACTCCACTCTCCTCTCTTATAAGCTGCGTCTCTATCGAGAAAAAGCAAATAAGAGAGAGAGAGAGAGAGAGAGAACAATAATTTATGTAAAATGTTAAATGTGTTAATATATTTTTTAATAAAAAGTCTTTAAACAGATAACAAGCTTGCACATAAGTAACTATATGCACATAGATCGTAGCTTTATTTAAACCTTTTAAGGATTTTCTTAATTTTGCTTCATTTGAATGCGTAATAGGATTTATAAATGTATTAATTACTGCGGGGGGAGGGGGGGGTATATTCAGATTCTGTATACCGCTGAATCTTTTAGGTTTGAATCCGGGATATAAATTCCAAAAGCGATCATTAACGGCAAGGATAACGAATTGGATGAGCATAAACGAGAATTCGTGAGTCAGAAGGAAGAGGGTGGGTATATGCATATTGACGGAAAGGGGAAGAGGAGACAATATCGGGCGGGCTATACTTAAATTACCTAGGAAGCATTCATACGTGGGACAAGCATTGTCATCCCAAGGGATTGTCTCTCAGACACCTTACGGGCAAGCTTTATATCGCGGGGGGTGTGCTACAGGGGTAGAAGAAGCCGGACGGGGGCAAAATGGGAGGAGGGAGAGACCTTTATTAGGTAGATAAGCGAGATGCGCGCGAGCGCGTTATATATAGGTGCCCATTCTCGTTTTACTCACTTCAATGCCTAATGAAATCGAGTTCTTGCAAGGGAAAGCTGCCCCTCTTCCATCCTCTCCTCCTCCGCGTCGAGCGGGCAGGGAAAGGAGAGGGCGAGAGAGAGGACGACAGCGAGGACATGAGATAATTGGTATTTTGTCTCGCCGAATCCTTTGTGCCCGGAGTTTTAATTGACTTCGAGATTTTTCAATACCAATTTGCACCCGACTGCATGCGAGAAAGAATATGTGTGCACAAGCGTGTGTGTATATGTGTGTACGCGTCCATGAGGTATTCTCGCGGAGAGAGGCCGACGGAATGGCGACCACGTCGCTGGATTTTTTCCACGACGGAAGAGACGTGTTCCTCGTTTTTCCTTCCGCTACCTTTGTCGTTGCTGCGACGAGGGTGGGTTTTATTTTTCGGGGTGGTGCACCCGGCAAGATAATAAATTATTAGCTGACGGGCTTTGCCTTTCTCGATTTTTTTGTCCAATCGCACCGAGATCGATGATGAAGCGACAGATGCTACCAAGAAATATTTCGTGATAACATCACAATTTATTATCGAAGCAATTAGTTTATTAAAAATAAAACGATTTGTATTTTTTTTTTTTTTTGTATTGAGCATTACCTTTTCCAATTATCTATATGCAGTAAAGTTCTCGTTGCATATTAATCTGCAAACTCTTTTAAGTAGAACTCCCTTGTCGATATGTTCAATAGGGGGATAACCACGAAAGCGAAGATGTGATTTTTGAACGTGAAAGAAAGAAGGAAGGCGTTTTTTGATCGCAACGGAGAAAGGATGTTGAAAAACAATCATATAACAGACGAGATCACAAAACAACTAATACCGCACGCTGAAAGGCGAATGGCGTTTATTCGTTCGCATCTCTGAATGTCCTCCGGGAACCAGGAAGGCGAAAGAGGATGGCCCAGGATGACGGAGGGGTGATTTGAGATTGGGAAAGGGGACAATGTTCTCCTTTTCTCTCTCGCTCCTTTAGCCTCTTTTCATTCTAATCCAAGTGCCCTGTCGTCGGAGAGGATTTTTTGCATTGTATCCACAGATTTCCCATAGGAGGGTAACCGTCAGATTTCGCCCAGCATTGTTTCACGGAAGCAGCCGCTCTTTTCCTCCTTCCCTCCCACCTTCTTTCTCATTCTCTCATTCTCTCTTACCTCTCTTTCTCTCTCACTCTTTCTCTTTAGATACATGTGTAAATAAATAAAGCCAAAATTTGCTTTCGAGCAAACTTCTGATTGATTTATTTGTGAAACGACGAAAAGACGGCGCAAAAGAATTAATCAGTATCGAATAAACATTTGATCGATTATTTTGTTTCATAATATGAGACGTAGCGCGTTAAAATATATTGCTATAAAGACTCGAGTGAGTCTCATAATCGATTTCAGTAATTCTCGATATTGTTTTGTCACGCTTGAGAATCTTTATTTCTTCTTCTCTTACCGCTTATGTTCTCCTAATACACTTGATTTGCGGCACTCTTATTGATAAGTTTTTTTTACAAATTCTTTTGTTTTTTCGTGCCATTTCTTTTCACTGATTTTATCTAACGAGTAATTAACAAGAGAAATTTGCAAAAATTTTCTAGCTTTTAAAATATTTTTATAATTATATATAATAATAATTTTTAAACATTAAATTACATATCACACAATGGCATATATACGCATTACAAGAAAAGTTTACGAATTGCAGATAAGTCATGTGATAAGATTTTGCAAGTTATTTAAAAACGATAAAAAAAAAGTCTCTCAAGAACATTGAAACGTTTTCTTTTTTTTTTTTTTCACAATTGTCACTCATCAGTGGAATTGAAAGTGCGTTAAATGGTCAATCGAACTGAAATCTGAAGTCTGAAAGAATCCGAAAACAAGTGAATCAAGAGTTTTCAGAATAAAAAGAAACAGTGGAGGATGAGAAGAATAGTGTACAGTGTGTCTCGAGATTCGAAAACAAATATCGAAGTTGAATCCACAAAGTTGAAGAAGACACCGTGAGAAAAAGAAAGAAGAAAAGAAACGCTCTCTTCTCTCTTCGTTCCCGCGAATAAGTATGCGAGTGTAATCGGAATTATCGCTCGATATCGCCCCGCGGTGGCGCACGCGACGACGACAGTGCGCGGAAAACGGAGCCAGTCAATAACGGATCGGTCTATACGCTATTTGTACTTCATCGTATCGAGGTAATCGATAATAATAATTGCAGTCCGCAGTATTGCCCCCTTCCCTCGTCTCCTTTCCGAAACTGCCCACTCTGCGCTCGGCGGAGGCCGCCGAAGTAGGGTCGCGAAGATCGACGAAGTAGAACGAAGTACAGCGGAGTTACGCGAAAGCAGAGACGCGACAACCAATGAAGCACAAGGGGTCGGTCCGGTGGGAGGGTCGGCTCGGTCAAGCCTTCGACATGAACGACGAAAGTTACGCCCATACAGACGGCGAGAATCGACTGAAGGGAGGTCCCGTTTGCATGCACGTACGTGGCGAGAAAGAGGGAAGAGAAGACAACAAGGACGGTGAGTCACAAGCGATCTAAGCAAGCTTGGCTGTCAGTTCAACCCGGGCAACCGGTTGGAGTGCAATCGTGTTAGGTAGATTTGTGTCGGACGCGCTCTGCCGGCTTTTACTGGCAACCAATCAACGATAAACTAATGTAACGAGAAGAAATCAACGTGATGGAAAGACAAGCACGCACAGGAGTATCTTGCTGTCTGAAATTGTTGAAGTTAGTTCATACGGAACATGTGTTTATAACGTGTATTGTACGTGACGTGACAAACACGCAAACCACAGCGGTTTCAACAAACTGGTATGATATTGGTTCAATCTCTTATCACGTACATAAACATCTGAACTTTTATATTTTTGTAACTATTTTAATTTCTTGTTTATTATATTTATCAATGTAGTTTAAAAGAAATTTGTTTCGTTAAATTGCTATGCGCTTTCACACGTAATTTATAAAAAATATATATTGGTCTGATATTTCTTTGTGATATCACTGTGGTTTGATGTTTGTTAACGTTATTATTAAATCGTGTTTAAACGAACGAAATTGTATTTGTCAAGGTGCTCAGCTGAGAAAGATCGCGATGGAACGTCATCACCAGAATCCGCTCTATCCGTCGAATTCAGGCTATCCTTTTCTCCGAAATATCGACGCGGCTCATCTCAACGCGTCTCACTTGTCTCCGATGCGTTCTCAGCCGCAGGATATGACAGCCGCTCAATCACCCGCGTCGCAAGAGGAACATGTGAAACGACCAATGAACGCTTTTATGGTGTGGTCTCGTATGGAGCGAAAAAAACTCTCCACAAACAATCCGAAGATGCACAATTCCGAGATCTCGAAGATACTGGGCAAAAGGTGGAAGGAACTTACGGACGACGACAAAAAGCCATTCATCGACGAGTCCAAACGATTACGGAATCAACACATGGAGCAGTATCCGAACTACAAGTATCGGCCCCGAAGAAAACCCAAGGGACTGAAAGATCCGTCGAGGCGCGTAAATTCGGGACCCTTTCCCGGCTTCTCGTTGCCGCCTTATTTCGCCTCGACCGGCGTCTCTCATCATCATCATCATCCACACCATTTGAACGCTTATCCGCGTTTACCGTATTCTTTCGCGAGCGGTTTAGAAGCCGTCCATTTCAACAAATTGGTCGCCGCGAACTCTACCGCCGGAATAGTACCACCTTGCACCACGGCGTCCAATGACAATAACAACAACGCGGCCAGCGCGGTCGTCAATGGATTCTATTCAAATTTCTACCTTCCGACCCCACCGGCGGTAAGTAATCCATCGACGACGCCGCATCTGAGTCCGCTCTTCTCGACTAGTCATCATCCGATAGGAACCACCGGATCCCATTCCCAATTGATGTTTCCCGCGACATCCGGATCTGCATCCGGAAACAACAATATTTCTGACACCGGTTCTTCGCCGTCGTTCTTGCCACCTGTGACATCCATGTTAGATTGCGATCAGTTTCACAGACCTGATCCTTCGTTGAGATGATAAACAACAGAATTGTTTAAAATTATTTGAAGAGTCTGAGAGTTTTAGCGGTAGAAAAAATTTAATGGAACGCTCGAAATGTACATATAGTGTATATAATTTAGAAAAGTTTTTCGGGAAAAAGAGAGGGAGAGAGAGAGAAAAGAAGGAAAAAAGAAATGAAAGTAATAAAAGGAAATAAAATTGATAAAATGATTTTTGTGACCAATCGCTTCGCTGGCTTGTTGATCGTCCTTGGTGGTCTTTTGCGAGAATGGCTGTTGGCAAGGCCGTCTCGCTGTCAACGACGCGGATAATTGAATTAGCATATTAATGCAGCAGAACAATGGAGTCGTTTAGGTCCGGATTCGTTTTGTCTCGTCCAATGGGTTTTATTGTAGCGCGGTACTCGCGAATGAATAGCCACATTCTAACCCTCCCAGATTCTTCATTTTGTTTCCAAATAATGTTTCCTAATTGCGGATGCACTTTTAAAATAACCTAAACTTACGCATACCTTGGTGTAAAGATTATAATGTTACAGCGAGAGACAAATACATCTGAACAAGAAAATTAAGTGAATATAAATTTATCTATAAATTATATATACACAGTCAAAGCTTTAAAAACTAATTTAAATTGTAATAAATACTTTGTGTAAATAAGAATAATTCTCTATCAAATCTATAAATTACAAGTACAAATATTTACATATATATATTGCCATATATACGTATATTTATAGATGTACATATATTGTCATACATTTACATTTGTTTCTCTCTGTTATACTTTACATAATTGGTCACAGTGGTCATGAACAAACATGTATATATAGTTATATGTCATGATACAACAGTTATGTGCACTATAATATTAAATATTTCTTTCTGACTCTCCCCGAAAAACAATTTTCAACGATAATTGGGAAAGGAATGTAAATATGAACTACATTTGATTTTTACAAACAAAACCTACTTTAAAATGTGTAAATAATATCAGATAAATAATCAGTAATGCAATTTAGCAATTACATCCAAAAACATGTATACGCACATTTTTCTTACACATATCGTAATGAGAGTTTGAGAAAATAGAATAATAAAATAACATAGAAAATAAGAGTAATATAGAACAAACAAAACAATAAATAAAATTTTATTTTGTATTATTATACAAGCTTTTTATTATTCTCTCAACTTTTACTCAACACTGGATTATATTTACATCCCTTTCCTTATAGATAAATATCGAAAAATTTGACCATTAATTTTATAAGAATATATTATGTATATCTTATTTAAAACAATATTAAAACATATACAAACATATTTTTAATTATATGTATTTAACTCTTTCACGCTGCAGACAAAAATATTTATTGACAGAAAAAAAAAATCTTTTAATTGAACGATGTCTATTCGGCATGAAAAATTATCCGTTACTTACAGATGCTGCACGCTACAAAATGTTTTTTTGTTGAAGCGCACAGTAAAAACATTTGTATAATGTGTATTTGTATATTTCTATGTTCATATGTATATATATGTATTGTTTACATATCTATTATATATATACATATATATATATATGGATGTAGAAAGGAATACATATAATTTCATACGTATGATTTCATTATTTGAATTATTTTTCATATATATGTAAAATGTCACATTTTTATGTATAAAATATATGTTTTATACATATATATATATATATGTATATATATCTATATTTATGTATTATATTTATACGTATGTACATATATCTTTATATAAAATATAACATATATCTTTATATATAAAAATATAACAAATAATAGAAAAGAAAAGTTAATGTAATTAATTTATTTACTTATACAATAGTCTTTGGATCAGCACATAAAAATACTGTCACTTAAAGAAAAATAATATAAAGATATTGTATTTATATAATATACATATGTTTTTAGATATATAAAATCATGCGCATGTAGATAAGAATTAATACATAAATTGCAGGTAAATAAATGCAAAGTTATATAGATTTTTTTAAGAGAGTTGCATTATTCTTTTTTTACATGAATTTATAAACAAGTTATTTGCATTTATTACATAAGATACATATAAATATTAAAATATTAAATCTGTCATACTTAATTTTTTTATTTTCATTTATTTTCTTCGTATATATATACATACAAACACATGTATAATTACGTAATTTATAAAGTGCATATATATACGGCTGATTAGATTTCGAAATACATATACGTAACACAATAATAAACAATGTGAAGACAGTAATACAAATTCTTTTTAATATACTTATAAGAAACTTGTACAAAGAAACACGTAACGCGTACGTATGATGTTTCCATACTGTCTATATGTATACATATAAATAAAAAAATGTAATTCTTATCAAATCCAAAAAATGATCAATATTTGTACAGAGAGCAGAAAGAGTCAAATAAAATCTTTACTATTCAAAAAAAAGTCTGTGCGTTTAAGTTTTCTCTTCTACAAAAAGAATAAATATAAAATACCTTTTCCACAACATCTTTCGTGGGACAGCGATAGAAATTGGACTACGTACTTGTTTTTGTGTGGGAAAGGGACTACTGCTCACTTTTGTAAAAGTCACTTTGTGTAAAAGCAACGGGCGGTCATTTTCGATGCTTCGACACGGAAAAGATTTGTCATCGACGAAGTCATCGCTCGTATATAAAGTGAAAGAACATATGAAGACAGAATGTAAAAAGAAGTACTGAAAATGAACAAAACATACATTTTCGATTATTTCAGTTTTTTTTTTTTTTTTTTTGTTACTTTTTTCTGTCTTTTTCAGATCTTGTAAATCTTCGATTTGGTTAATGAGTTTGCTGCAACAAAAGAATTTCACAAATCAAGTATTAGACTTACGTCTCTATATCTGTGTATCTATAATTAATAAAATTTCTTCTGCTATATGAAATAACATTTTAATTAATGAGATTTAAAAAAAGTATATACATTTTAAATATGTACACATATTATATAAGGTGAAAAGTTTTTACCACTTCTTTCTACGTTGTTGCGTGTAAAAAAATATATATTTTTTTAAACGATTTTGCTTACTGCACAAATATTTAATTACGTTGTGTGTTAATTACCACGTCTTTTTGTAAATTATATACTTTAGAGCTCCATGTTTTTCGAGTGAATAGTCACGATATTGTATTTGCACGAAAAGTGGAAGGTGCAACGCAATCGCTTGGTGTGCGCCGAATCCTTTCGTTTTTCAGTCTCCAGGTTATAACAAAGGCTTCCGGTTTTCCCTTCAAACGACGCGGTGACGGTAGCTTTCGAAACACCAGCGTGTTTCAAAGGGTTCTTGCCACCCCCGTCGTCTCAATCGCTGAAACTAATTTAATTAACTAATCACCGACGGTTCAGGTATTACGTGTGAGGAAATTCCACTATATAGCCTCATTCGAAGCGCTTTCAGCACGGAGAAATGGCACCATATGATCAAAGACAAATATATTCGAACATGATAAACAGGTGGATTATACATGTTAGATTCAATTCTTATAAAACCGAATAATCTAGAGGCAAAGCAATTATAGTAACAAATATTAAAAAAGAAAAAAACATAGAGCCAAAAGCAAGTTACATATTTGCATAATTAAATTATCACGAACTTTTTATATAAATTTTGATAATAGTATTTGACAAGATGTAAAAATTAATTAATTATTTAATTAAATTTTAGACTTTTTTTCAACAATATTAACATTAAGTTTCCGTTAAAACACTATTAGATTGGATTCTTATCTCTGAGTATTATCAGGTTTGCGCGAAGTAAACTTTATGACACAGAATTGCGGTAGTTGCCACACCGAAGTAAACTTTTCGGCTTCTTTTGGAACCTGTCAAAACTCCGCGGAAAGTCTCTTTGAAAGTTGCGCTAAATAATTAAGAAATCCACTTAGGTTCTACATTCATCAGGGCGATAAGACCCGTAGGGAATCGACTGTTCTTTACCGACAGAATTAAATCGTCGGAAATGGACAATAGTCATCGAAGAGACGCTTTTCTTCCGTGCTTTCGGCGCGGTGCCACTTTGAAAAACAAGCCTTTCCCATTTCCGACGAAGTCCCCGGGCATCGAGTCGTCCTCGTCCAAATGTCTCCGGGAGTAGTTTCCGCTCTTGCGATTATGTCGGAAATTTATTCATCTGGGGTTAGATCGTCTCTCTCAAGTCACAATTTCCAATTTCGTGTAGATAAAAATTCAATAAATTTTCACAATGTGAATTATTTTTTTTGTCGTATGAATAACGTACGCGCAACTCGAACTTTGTTTTGGCACCTATCTTAAACTCAAAAGAAGTCCAAAGTTTCTTTGCACAATCGAAAAAGTCTCTTTTTTTTAAGACACCATTAAAGTTTATTCAATGAAAAAGTCTTCTTCTTCAAGCTATCAAAATCATATGCCACTTGCATTCTGTTGTACTCGGTGGATCGTATATGAATGCGCCAGATCATGTTCCCGACTTGACAACGAGGACGCGGAATATAACTTTCTGCCGCTTTCTGTATCTCGATATACTTGACCAAAAGAAAGAAGAAATGGGGGGGGGGGGGAAAGAGAGAGAATTGAATCGAGGGGGTGGTTAGCGGGAGTAAAAGAAGAAAGGAGAGGAATAGTCAACGGAATGGTACTCTGTGGACAAAACTTCGCGACTTCCCTTTCAGAGAATATATCCCACCATCTCTCCTCTTGACCCTTCATGCGACAGGAAGAAGATTGTGAATGTAAACCCTTTAATGGTCTTGGAAGGCTTTTCGCCTTCGTCTCTGCAGAAAATCCGCTCGCGCTGAATGCATCGCGCAGCGCGATGTCATCATCAGCGAAACTGGCGCGTGACACGCTCAAAGAAACCCGTGGTTCCCATTTACTTTTTCTACTTTTTTTTTTTTTTAATAATTAATTCAGTCGCACATTGTTCGGAGAATTCTTCACATGTATGTGCTAAATTTTAAGATCTCTGTGAGGTCGGTTCTTTTCAGAATTTCAGATGTAAACTGGTTAAGAGTGTTCGCGTACAATGTATATTTCTTTTTGCCAAATCTCTGATTTTTCAGAAGAACAATTATACATTTAGATAAAAAAAAAAAACTTATCTATTTACATAGAAAATATACATATGTATATACGCATAAAACGCGCCCGTTTCGTTTTCTTAATTCTTCAAACGTCGTCGATGAGAACTGTACAAAGTTGACTCTCGCGCTCTCGTACCCTTTGAAAAACATTCAAAAGACACGTATACGTAAATGTTTCTTTCACAGCGTTACCAAAGTCACCCCCTGCGACCACCCCTTCTTCTCCTTTCTCTCTTTTCTCTCCATTGCACACACTCGAAAAAAAAATCTCGTCGCCAGTCAAGATCGCATCAGCTTTTGGCATAATGTGACCCAAGGTTTTCGAGTGGACCGACGGAGTTCGCCCCCTTTCTTCCTTCTCGTCGCGCGGCATTATGTTCTTGCGTTCTTACGTTTCACGACGTCGAGTGCGCGCAACTGACCTTTGCTCTCTCGTGTAAAAGCGCGAGGGTTCTCTCGTTTCGTATCAAGAGGGTACGCGCGGGCTTTTTTTTTTTTGCTAACAGTCG